TCTTCTCAAACTTCTAACTCCTGATTCCTGGCTTATTAATGAAAACTCATAACATAAAAAATGTTCAGCATCAAGAGACGAATCCAACCATATGCAGAACTTGATCTAACTCTCTAAGATGAGGGAGAATTTCTTCTCCCCTAAATCCTAACCTAGATTTTCTGCCATTTTCAAACCTTAAATTCTCACAGCTCAAGCAAAAGAAATGAAAAGTAAAAACATGTACATGTTCAGTGGCATGAGTAAAACATTGTTTATTCACAAACTTAGAGCTAATGATGCCTAATAAGAGAGATAGAAGTTCACCAAAATACCTGTTCAGTTGAAGTTCTATCTGGCAATGGGGAAGCTTTCAGTGCAAGGTGATGATTGGTAAAGCTTCCTTGAGGTCCAGGGATGCTATTCCAATGTTTACTTTGTCTTGAAAGCTTTTGAATCGTGTTAGAGCACTTCACCTGCAAAACAAGAAACTGAAAATGGTGGAACTGGTTAGAGGGATTACAGGCCGTGTTTCAAGTCATGGTTAGCTTGCATAGATGCTAGGGAATGTGTGTGAACTGGTTTGGGCAAGAGAGCTTGAGGGAAATGGAAGATGGCACTCAAACTGCAGGCCTGGCCCTGTTTTGCAGTTTGAAGGTGATTCTGAGATTGGGAGTGTATGAGAGATGTTTGGGTCGTGCACTAGCTTGGTTGGGATGTCTTGAGTGTGTTTCACAAGTTCACTTAAGTGTTTGCAAGCTGATATGAGAGTTGTGTTACAACATGCCAAGTTACTTACACTTTAAGCAAACAATGCCCAAGTTGTGTTCTAGGTCAGTAGAGGCCCCCTAATGAGCTGCATAATCCCTCCTTGATCAGAGTGTTTTGCTCATAATCTTGTGCCAATTAGATCTCATTTGTACTGCTTGGATTTTCAATTGGACATAAAGTTACCTTTTGCAAAAATGGAAGAAATGCTTTATCTATAAATGGATTAATCCTTTAGGCAATGCTTGAACTCATGAAACAAGGCCTTGGCACAAAGGTTTTGCATTGAATTATTGAGTGTCAAAGGGTTTTAGGACCTGTAATTTAACACAAACTATGCTGACTTGAAAATGGCCTAAGTTATGAACATGTTCATGATCAAATCAAAAGTGAGTTTTTGCCATATTGTGAAATTCGATTCTCTCAAGTTATGAGGTTGTTTGAGAAGTTCTTGGACATTTTGGAAAGCTTGGAATGTGTAATACAATCCATCTTTGAAATGAAAATTGAAATTCCAAGTGGAAGTGCATGGAAAATGGCCTTGAAGTTAGGTAGAAAACCTTGTCAAAAAGGTCAAATTTTCACTAAGTTAAGAATGGTTTGGCACCCCTATTCAAAAAATTGTAACTTGAGATACAAGCTTCATTTGGGAAAACTTTGTGAATCAAAGTTGTAGATTATACAACAAGATACAACTTTCATGTTTTGACTTTTGTTTGAATCCAAATGAATCTTGATGAGAAAGTGGGGCAAAGTTGGGGAAAAATTAGGGTTTTCCATAACTTAGAAAAATTCTAAGTTATGAAAAATTCCCATTTCAAACCCTAATTTGCATTTCTTGGTTTCTTGGTGAACAAGTTTCATGATTTGGCATGTTTTGGTGAAAAATGAATCTTGACTCTTGATTTTGACCAAAAAGTCAAAGTTTGACTTTTCAGTATACAGTCAAAATTGATCAATTGACTGGGAAATTCAACTGTCAATCTTGTGTATTTGGGATCTTTTGAGTTTGTTGAGCATGTCAAGATAATTCCATGGGGTCCTTGAGTCCATATGTGAGCTTGGTTTGCCATTGGCTAGGTCAAACAGTCAAAAATTGCCTTTGTGCAGTCAAAACCCTAAAAATGACGATTTTGCCCTTTTGATGATCTGATCAAATTTCTTGTGGAATTGTGATCCAAACTTGATCAAATAGTCCATTTGAGTTCATAATGTTGATGTGGGTCAATTTTCATGAGATTTGACTGTCAATTGGCCACAGTTGACTTTTTCCCCAATACAGTTGATTTTTAGGTCAACTGTCCAGTTGACTGGGCAAAACTTGGAATCAAGGCTTGAAACTTGGTATGGACAAACTTGGGAGTCCATCATGAAGCATGAAAGTCATCTTAGGCATTTTGGGTCAAGACATCCTTGTTCAAACACAAACCCTAATTTGGGTCCACAGTGCAAGGAGAAGTCTTGAGCAGAGGAAACCCTAACTGGATCTTGATCTTCCAGGGTTTTGTGATGAGAAAAATGTTGAGGAAATGGTAGGGCAAATTTTGGGGTACAACAGAGAGCATACATGTTATATTTGGTTGACACTGTCATTTTTATGGACAATAGTATCACTTATATAGATGTCATTTATCTGTGATAATTCAATGACTTTTAGTGTATCCGTGAGTACAACTGGGGATTGTTTGTTTGCTATACTCGTATTCTAAGTTATTTGAAGGTTGTATGTGGAAGACGAAACATGTGACAATCAGCACCACACTATTGACAGTAATATTTCTTGGTATTTTAGTGTTTGTGTGTCATTTTCATTACATTATTCCAACGCCATTACTAGCTAATGATTCACGTGTTCCAACACTTTTCAGACTTGGATCCACCAACACTTTCCACACATCTCCAGTTGGTCATGTGTACTGACTTATATTGAGGATATGCCACGTGCTTCCGCATTCGCTCCACTCAGAGGGAACCATACAACATAGCAGTTTAGAGTGTATCTTGACTGCTTGGTAGCAGATGATATACACTTTCATTCTTACATAGATCACCGTGAGACGCGTCCCTTTTGACGATATAGTCTTATACTCGGGATGGTTGGCTTGCGGTTCACGTATGATGTTTCCTCATCTGCTTGAGTGCGTTATACGTCAGTTAAAATACATGTTGTATATTTCTAGAGGTCCTTTTGTGTATGCTCCTCCCACTATGACACGTAAATATATGGATGATATGTTTGATGATTATCTTAATCATCTGGTACCAGAGGAGGCACAAAGTACCATAGCTGAGAGCGATTGGAGCTACGCAAATGGTTACATCCGATGGTTTTTTAGGGTTTCACATCCTTATATGGTACAAGATGTTCCATGAGATCTATTGAGGCCAGCTCATCAAAAAATACTAGAGAGGAGCAAACTAGAGCAGATCATGTTGTTGATGTTTTGCCTAAATATCGTTGTATCGTGGAGATTGGACATACAGGTATTGACAGAGAACTTTTTTGGGATGACTCTGAGGAAAGGGATGTTATAGATGCCATGGTGGCAGAGACTCGGAAGGCACTACAGTATATGAGGCAGCGCATGAACAAGGGGTAATGAGGCCGAGTTTTGATACACATATACTAGGCTTAATTCGACACACCTTATGTCGAGCAACATGCTGTTTTCGGCACAAGGAATTACACTTTCAACAACATATTCAACAACTTCGCATAATCGAGATGTGTCCAGAAGATATCAACTACAATATCTGAGTTCTCCCTATTTCTAGTCCAACACATGTATTTCTCTTTGTGTATAAGGCTCAATAACAGTTGCGTTTTTGTCATTGCACCTCTCTTGCCCAATATGTATGTTGATCTAACTTTATATACCTAGGTAATACTCGTGAAGTTTTCTGGATATTTGTCTTTCAAAGCAGAAATGATGTACCTTGGTGCCATATTGTATTTCGTCATGTCATTCACTAACTTTCTTTCATGATCTTTTAGACGTCCCAATATGTCATGGCCTTGTAAATCCTTGTCTAGTCTATGATTGTGCATCTCACATTTAACAACCACCTTCCAACCTATACCACTAGGAACATGTCTTATTCTAAACAGACATTTAACTTTCATAGTATAAATGTCATCAGAGGTATTTACAGATGTATTTTTTCTTTTATAATTTCCTCATATCTCACAATCCATAATTAATTTATCCTTCCTCCCTCGTATTCCATTAGCAGAATCGGATCGAACTGTAACAAAAATAATATCATATTTTTTACCAATAGACTGTGCCCATTCTAAAACTTCAGACCGAGATTTAAAAATTTGTCAATTACAACATAAAATTAGTAAACTTTATCAATTTCATAATTGTCGAAAAAATAAAAATGAATAAGTTCAATAAGAAACATACAGTATATGTGGTGAAGAACTGCGTAAAATCCGTAAATGAATCTATAAAAGAAGTTGAAGCTGCTGGATCTGGACCACACAAATATAAAACTCCATTTGCAAACATACCAAAAATTTGCAAAATTTTCGGTATTCCAAAAATTTCAAATTTCCACTATTTTGTTATTTATCGGATATTCTGGAAATTTTCGGAATGTGTTATAATTTTTTTGTTAATCGCCTCGGAAGTTTTGAAATTTCTGATAAATCACCGCAGAAAATTTGAAAATTCAAAAATATTATGGTAAATGCCCAATTTCGTTATCGAAAATTTGGTAACAGTATTGAAATTTCTTTTTTCACCACTTTGACTTATAGTAATTTTTTTTGACAAATATAAAAAATTTAGAGGTAAATAATAATAGAAGTATTTTGGAAATAAAAGAAATGGAGGTGTGGGATATAATTTAAGGGGTGTCAAGTTAAAAACTCCTTATTTCATTTTGAAAACTGGAAAGTTGAAAATTAGAGCATCATTAAAACGTGTATCTTTTGCTTGAAAACTAGAGCATTTATGACAAGCAAACATAAACAAAGTGTGCTAAAAAGTATGTAGTTAGTACATTAAAAATAAAATAGTAAATAAAATATGTCATAAGTGAAAGAAAAGACTCTAAATTTGTGATAATATCAAACTGAATACACAAATCAAAATGAAAATAATAATAATAATAATAATAAAAGTGTTAGCTCATTGATAAAAGTATAGTCATGTAATCTTAAGTTTAAAATTTCACACTTTAAATGGGCAAGTATTAAATGGAAAATATCTTCTGTTAAAACATAAAATGTTATAATCCCTCCCCCACATGAAGATGAAGTCTTGAAGCACATATATAGGAAGTGGAAACGACCTAGAGACAGGTCAATTTCTAACAATAAAATAGATACTACAATGAACACACTAAAAATAAGGCATTTACAGAATAAGATTATATACCCTGCGCAATGTGCCTACCATTTATATGGTCTTGAATCATGCATGCAACTGCATGAATCTCAGGGTATTCTAGAAGAAGGCCTATTATCTTTACAAACAAATGCTGTAATGAATAAAACTTACTTTGACAAGGAACTCATCAAGAACAATGAAATGGAAAAAAAAACTGTTAAAATTCATGTCTTGGCTCCTCAAAATGAAGGGACTGACTATTTTGATATGCTCCTTTGATTAAATACACCAACCATTCCCCAAAACAATCCTTCAATGAATACAGATGCATGCGCAACTGTTGACTTCCATATTTTATCCTCCGCCCAAAAATCCGACCATTGCAATGAGAAACACGTTAAGATGATAGCGTTTTCATTTCAGGAATTGGACCTAGTTGGTAATCCTATCACGCTCTAACAATTTCCTTTCCGTGATCATCTTCTTGAATATTTCGCGTCAACCTTCTCAGCCATATGTCATAGTTCATGGGATACGGCGTTCCGCATAGACTGTCGACATAATCGGCAAAAGCTTTCAGCAATGTGGAAATATCACCAAGCTTTTGTTGAATTGATCTCCTTGACCAAGATGTTTCTCTCCATTGTAGCGCTCCCTCTACTGAATCTAGATCAGGGAATACACCACCGCATGAATAATAAAGCATGTATACGAGGCTTTCCGCATCAGAGGCGGAGCATAGCTTTCCTTCCTGAAGTGCGTAAGTAGATGAAAAATGAAGATTCATGGCAGGACGGTCTCTGTCTTCAAGAATTGCATGGCCCCACCCAATTAGAACAAAGTAAGGGTGCCTAACACCAGACCTAACACAAATCACATTCTCCGGCCTGATGTCTCCATGCCGTAGTCCCGCTGAGGTAGCAGTCGAGAGTGCTGATAAGCAATCATGGCAACATTTGATAGCCTCATCTGAACCAAATCGGCCTGACTCTACCATTTCAGCGACTGTTTCACCAATTGGACTGGTCACAAGAACAGGAGTCCCGCACCAAGGGTGGTCACAATTTCCACCAGAGCTGGGCCTTCGACAATGACCAGGGTGTATGATCCTTCCAAAGGCAATTAATTCAGGCAGATATTTGCTCGAGAGACCTTTCTGCTTCATTATTGTCAATACTTTGGTTTGCCTCTGGACTTGATACCATAAATTCATATCTTCCCATGCCGGTTCAAGCTGGGAGGGATGAGAGCCCACGTACAGAAACAAATCTATTCCCGGGTCTTCAACATAAGATGCAATGTAGCATGTCAGTTCACCAGTATTGATTACTTCTTGTATTTGATAACCCTTTTGTCCATCTGAATCTTCCAGCCATAACAAAGATCCTTCTTCTAATTTCATCGCCTCTTTGGAATCAACATTGACATAATCATCCTGAACTTCGACAATCTCAGGGGAAACACTGCGCTGCTGGTAATGAAATAGGCCATTTCCATTCACTCTGGCGGTATCTCCTAACTGCCTCTCAATTCTTCTCGTTTGGAGACGGGAACTATGGTCGGCAGCTAAATCCTCAATAGAGTACTTGGGCATTCCAGCATATTGCGTAATACAGTGAAAGGTTGCAAATAAAACCTGCAGAGCACCAATATCTCCCCAGTTTGCATTTCCTAGCTTGTTCCAGATTCTATAAATTGGAGAAACAGAAATTCTAGAATGATTTTTTACCCAGTCAGCGGCACATTCATAAACATTATTCACATCAAAATTGAGCTTACTTACATCTCCTTCAACCTTTACAACTCCCCCATATTGAGAATCAACTAGAAGAACAAAGACCGTGCTTGGATCCGGAAAGAAACTCAGTCTACTCAAACTCCTTGCCAACAGCATTCGAATAGCATAAAATAGAGCTTCTCCTAGAACTGGTAACGAAGGCTGGCGGTCGCTGCCAACAGCTAGACCTCTGATATCTGTTCTTAGAAGAGTTAATTCAAGGAGATGATCCCATTTCCCATGAGGATGTCTAGAATTATTAAGCAATATACCAGTGCCACAAAGACCTCCAAGTCTTCCATTAGCAATAGCATTTTCCGCCTGATAAAATTTCATGTTAGCATTATACAGACAAGCTGCTGAAAAAGGCATAGGCTCGTCTTGACTCCAAAACGCCTCCCACAAGCCCTTCATACTAGCATGTAGAAAATCTTCAATAGCAAGACAAGATGTTGCTTCTACAGCTTCAGATGCAGAAGCATGAACAGCATTCGGCATGCGAGTCAGCTGCTGAAATGGAATCCCCTCCAATGCATAATCAAATTTTTGAAGTTCAATCAACTCAAATGGAACATCAAATGCTTGCTGTTTCGATGTATATTTTTCTGTTATAGATTCAAACCAATCTACAAGTTTTTCATTCAGACTGTCACTATCAACAAATTTATAGAAGAACTCCTTCTGATTTCTAGACCTACTACCAGATGACACACTGGATCTCTTTGTCCCAGACCCAATTGATTCCTGGCCTGGGGATCTACCTGCAAATAGGTATCAAACTTCATTAACATCACTATAACTATAGTTCCTTCTTTGGAGAAGCAAAAATGGCAATAAGTCTGACGTGACCCGAAAATTCAGAGATAAAAAAGGTAATACATAAACTGACACAGCTCATCGTTTAAAAAAAAGATTTTCAATGTAAATTTTTATATATAGATAAATGGATGAAAGCATACAATGATACAATTACCCTAATTCGGTGCCTTTTGTAAATGGGTACCATAGGGATACATTGAGAGCATGAAGAGGCATAAAATCGTAGAAGCTACTATTAAGAGCTAATCCTTATGATTAAATTTGATGCAACCAGTATATCTCAACAACTCTAAAATGAATAAGATTTTTATATACAATAACTATGTACAGATCAAGACTTGAGAGAGAAAAGGATTACGGTTTCTGAGTAAACAGATCTCACGATCTGTTATTTTCAGATGCTTGTCGCAGCGAAAAGCCATCAATCGGCAAATTCCACTTGCACGCCAACCAATTGTCGTAAAAGTGATAAACAGGGGGGAAACAAATGACTTCTTGCACTGTAACCCGATTATTGTTTAAATATAATTGTAAAAAAAATCCGTTCAATCTATGCCAACCAATGAAGCACAGACTCCCCGAACACGACCTTGACACTGATACGGCGACACCGGTAATAATTTGAAAAAAAGAATAAACTAAACGTAATCACAAGTGTTGGTGTTGCGGACACGGACAAACCTTTTTTCAAAGGTGTCGGTGCTACATGCCAACTTAACGCAATAAATAAATTAAAGGCAGGCTCAGCATTAAATTCAGGCTGTTACCCCTCAGCCTCTATGGTTAGCTGGCATTGAGTTGTCAGAACATAACTACAAGAAAACTCTTTAAAAAGGACGTTTAAGTACTTTTAGGAGTCAAATGGATTTCGACTTCTTCAAAATAGTTGTAAAAAACTACGGTACTTTTCAATATTCCAACCAAGGTTGTCAAAATCGAGATCGTACATAAGATCGGGAGAGAATAACAAGATAGTTAAATATTAAGCTTTTTTCAAGCAGAGCTTATAAGTTATATCTCAATCATTTTCTTCCATAGAGACCTATCATTATGCCAATGCAACATCTGGAACTTCAAAAACTATAAAAAAATTCTGGAGTAATCTAAGAATAATTTTTTTGTACAACATATTGTTAATCACCAACAACCATCACTATTCACATTGTACATGATCAGCATATGATCACAACTAAGATGGGATATGATCAGAAATATTATTAACAAAATCACCAACTGAACTCTTTTTTTGGGAAGCACCGTGCGATTTTATCCACTCACTTAGACTTACAAGCTACAAGCCATATATAGCTATGAGTATCACCAAAAATTCCGGGCTAACTTTTCAACAGGTAAGATCAAATTGATTTCATTAGGAATGAAAATGCAAAAAATAGACAAAGTGGCGTGTGAGATATAACTTAAAATTATGCATGTGTCTTCGCCCATTGTTGTTAAGAGCGCGAGTTAAATCGTAATATCGGACTGACGTAACGAGCTTGCTTACCCATGGGCGAGCCGGATCTCATATAAGATCGGACTTCAGTAGGATGATAATGGGATGAATGAGAGGTATTTTAAGCCCTATCTTTGAGGTTTAAATTAAAGTAATCTCTTCCCTTCCCTCCCCTCTCCTACATTTCCCCCCAACCAAAAACAAAGCAAAAAGAAACATCGAGTTTTGTCGAAACGGCCGCCACGCCCAAACCGGAACCACAATTTTATGCTCCCCGCCCTATGAATAAGGGAAAGGGGGAAAAAAGGCATAAAGGCTATCCAAATTTCACAAACAGAAACAAACAACAAACACATCCCCTGAAATACTTGAATTTCATCTCTAATTTCTCAACCCAAAATAGAATCAAAATTCACATAAACAAATCCACAGCAACAATAAACGCATAATTCGGAAACAGAAACTGAAAATCAAAACACAACTAAGAATAAGCATAGTCAAATTGAGTCAAAGAAGTGTAAAACTCGAGAGAATTTAAATTTAGGGTTCAGAATACCACGAACAACTAAAAGAAGAAAAAGAGAGATAACAATAATAATAACACCAAATTGAATAATACCTTGCATTTTTTTTTTTTTGAGTTTCAGATCTTCCTTGAATTTCTCCCAGTATTATTTAATTTACTTTACTTTAATTTATTTTTAAAGGGAAAAAAACGTGGTTTTTATTTATTTTAGAGAGGAAGAACAAGATCCAACGAGTTTTGTTGGTTTGTTTTGCTCGGTCGCACGCACTAGCTTCCAGTTTCAGCACAAGTATGGATTTTGAACATAAAGAAAGAGGTAATTTTGTTGTCTCTGTCTGTTTTTTTTCTTTTTGTTACTGAAACAAAGTTTCACTTTTTTATTTTATTTTTAAGTTCATGCGTGTTATGTGACCTCTTATTTTGTGTCACTGTACAATGTAATTACCGCTACTGTTTCTCGTTGAATAATATTAGATACTACTATCTTATAAAGGGTTAGTGTGACCCGACATATATGATAAGATACTCAGTAATTAATTATGTAGCTTAATTACATTCTTTGTATTAGGGATATATATATTGGCGATTTGTGTTGAATTTAACTAAAATTATAATTTAACGGTATGTAGCTTAATTACATTCTTTGTATTAGGGGTATATATATTGGCGATTTGGGTTGAATTTAACTAAAATTATAATTTAACGGTATGTAGCTTAATTACATTCTTTGTATTAGGGATATATATATATTGACGATTTGGGTTGAATTTAACTAAAATTATAATTTAACGGTTTGGGTGAGGTAAAATAATCATTAATATATCATTAAATTAATTTGAGTAAAATCATAAATTTGTAAGTTAAATTGTTTGAATAATTGATTATTCAATTTTTTTAATTTTTTATATAGTTATTAATCATGCGTCATATTTTTTAATAAAATATTATAATTAATTAATTATAATTTTATAACTTCTTCTCACAAAAATTTTCTGCCAAATCATTTTAGTTAATTATAATTCTATAATATCTTCTCATAAAAACATTCTATCAATTTTTTTTACCATTTTTACTAACTAATAAAAATTAAAATTAATCATAATAGTAAAAACACCCATTGTCGCACGTGCAAATCAGAAGTAAGAGAGAACGAAATTGCGATAGTAATGATAGGAAAAGAAATGTAGCAGTAAAGATTTGAGATTAAGTCATCAATTGACTTATCTCAACACAATGAAGTCGTCACCGCACTTTACTGTTTGCAAAGGGAAATGGAAAAAAAAAAAACGAACAAAACCCACAATGAAATAAAAGATCAGAGATCGAGGTATGAGGGTCGATTATGCAAAGGGGAGGTATTAGCACCCTAAGCATCTATGGTACTCTGCGGGATTCACTTTGTTTGGTTTCTTTCAAAAGGAGTGTCATGTAAAAGTTTACTTGCTAAAGGAAAAGAATGAATGAGTATTTGAAAACAAAAGAAAATAAAATGTTTTTTTATTATTTTTGTTGCTCGCCTTGGATTGTAAGACTTAGTGCCTACGTATTCCCTCGTGCAATGGGAAAGTCAGAGCACCGTAGTTCGGCTAGAAAAGACTTGTCTGTTGATTGTTTTTTAAACAAGAAGACAAATCGTCATTGTTATTAGAGAAATCTAGACTAACGCCCACAAGGTGTGAGAAAGATGGACCCTGCGTCAGTAAGAGTGAGGGTTTGAGAATGCCTCTGGTACTCAAGTGGAAAAGTCGACACCTTTATAACCATAGGGATAGGAGAATGTTGCTCGACTATCAACGAATCATGTCTCAACTCGAAAAAAGTTTTGAAGGGTAAAGGTGCTCGAGCGCACAAAAAGGTTTGATTGAGTTGAAGTGTTTTTGTTAATTTCGAAAGATGTCGAAGTATAATTAAGTGAATTGAAGTTTGTTTAAAGAAAAGAAGTTTTAAAAGAAAAGGCACTCGACAAAGTCGAGGTTTATTATGAAAGTGATTCGAGTTTATAAACAAAGAAAATTTTGAAAAAGATGAGAAGGTTTTGAAAATTAAAGTATAGGAGAAGATGAAGAGAGTGTCTTATGTACGGGAGGGTAAAAGATAAGGTAAAAGTTAGGGAAAAGAAACGTTTAACCAACAAGAAGCCAACAATTGATATAATGAGTCAATGTAGAATTCTCATTCTTTGGATTGAAACCAAACAAGCAAAGATACTAGACCTCTTGAGAGAACCAAACTTCAAATGTATTAAGTCTTCACAAAAATTAGGCTGAGTAACGGCTGTATACAGATGAATTCCATATTACAGACAAAGTATGTAATCACAAGAACCTGCACACAAAACAAATAAACAACCCAATGTCTTGAGGTAAACCTCAAGAACTCTAGACAAAATATCAATTAAGGTTACAAAGTCTCCAATAAAAGTCAAGGTTTATATTCCTAAGTCCAAGAAGTCCAATACTCCATAATGTCAAGGATAGTAACCAAATAGTCCAAGTATCATTAATATTTTGTATGGTTCATGTTGATTATTAAGTATCTTCAAAAAGAAAAGAAAAGCTCAAGTGAGCAAAATAAAAATGGCATAAAAGTAAATGCTCAAGTGAGCAAAGATGAAAATAGCATGAAATGTAAATGTTAAAGTAAATAGTACATAAAGTAAAAGCATAAAAATAAAAGTATAAAGTAAAGTCAATTGTTAAGAATCAGTGGTTAGTTGGATGACCATCTTGAAACTTGCATTTGGAACTCATTAGAGGATTGGCAGAACCAAAGCCTCTCAACAACAAATTGCATTTGCTTTTTGTCAAGTATATCATCCATTTTTAGAATTCTCAAGGCAATATTTAATGATCAACGATGTTTAAGTGATCCGCGTTGACCAAAATTTATGAAGATCCATTAGAGGATTAGTATAACCAAATCCTCCACACAATGAATCTCAAGTTTATTGGATCAAATGGATTAAATTAACATACTTTGGCTTGCAAACATAGGTTTGGGCCACGAATGATCATTTATTCGAATCAGGACAAAATTTAGCGCTATGTTAAGCAATTGTAAGTCGACTTATGTAGAAGTCGCACCTATTTTAAGGCAGGTCAATAGCAATCTATGTATTTCATGTTTGGATAAATGATATAGAGATCATTATCCCATAACATGTAATACAATAAGAAAGGGGAATAAGATGAAGAGGAAAGGGATTAGAGTTTCAAATATCATCAACATCATTCGTCCATTTTAATGGATTTGGTTTATCAACCTATCAACACCCAAGACTCAATGATGTTGAATAATATATCTCAAGATATGCTCCAAGTCAGTACCACATGTTATTTCAAGAATCAAACAAGAATCATGTACAAAAGTTTTCAATTACAAGCATTAATCAAAGGTAAAACCCAAAATGTAATCTTAAGTCAAAAATAGTTTTAAAATATGAAAATAACTTGAAAAATTATGAAATTAAAACCCTAACTTCCTAAAGTCTATAAAAGTCAGAAATAAAATTTGGAGTCCCTGGATTGAGGTGAAAATTTTCTTTAGAAATGAAAACTTGGAAACTAGCAAGTTTAAGCCTTAAACTAGATGGTTTTGGAAAATAATTTGTGAAAAATATGAAATCACATTGTAAAATTCCATAAAAATTATTTCTATGGCTTCAACATGTTCAATCACTCCAAACAACTTCATCTCTGATTTTAAAGGCATGGGAAGTTAGAACTTTAAATCAATTAATGTGCATAATCAAGCAAAAACCCTAAAAGAGGAAATTAAGTTCACAAATTAATCAATTAGATCCAAAGGCCAAATAAATTTGATATAAAATAATTTAAATGTCAAGAAAATTAAAAGGACCAGAAAGCATATTTTTCTTGAATTTTATCTCAAAAGGAAAAAAGAAATAGAAAATTATTTATGCAAACTAATAAAATTAATGCAAATAAAAGACATTATGTCCAAATTATTTTTAAAATGTAACCAAATTTTTTATAAAATTTGACAAAAAATATTTTCAAGTAATAAACTCAGAGAGAAATCCAAAAATATATTTTATGGATTTTTTACTTAATAGAAATAGGAAAATAAAATTCAAGATTTAAAAGAAATATTAAAACCCTAATTATTTACATGATTTTATTTAACCAATAAAAATGATTAAAAAAATGAAATAAAAATCAAAATATGAAAATATATTGAAAAAGAAGTCTAAAATATTTTTTTCATAATTTTTGAAGTGAAGGAAATACTAAAATAAAATTTGAGAAAACAAGAGAAGAATTAATATTCAAAGGCTATTACACCTGTTTTTGCCAAAATGCGCTGTAAAAGGAACTGGAACCATGTTCAATTAAAACAAAACACCTCATCATCCCTACCAAAGCCGTGCTGTTCACGTTTTTTCAGTTTTGAAACCTCATTTTTAGATCACCATAACTCACTCATTTCTTGATGAAATCCAAAACTTCCAACACCAAAGTTTAAGATTGAAATTAGTAGAACATGTTAGGATCAAAAAGTTTATGAAATGATGCCTTGATGAGTGAGAAAATCGCGCATGAAGAATGCTACATGAACACTTTTTTTTATTTACACATTACATCAAACAGTTTTGTGATTCACTTTTCTCCTTCAATTCTCCACCAAATTAAATGATCCAAGAATAAAAATTGATCAGAAAAATACAAGGATTGTAAATATGCTCTTAGATCAAAAAATTCATGAATTTAAACAACACCCAAAGTTGTAGTAAGAGAGAGAAAAATGGATCATATACCTTGTAATGAATTTGATGATGTTGGAGCTCAAATAAAGAGCTAGTAATGGAGAGAAGCTTGCTTGAATGATGCAGAGATGATAAAATAGAGAGAGATGTGGAGAAATTTTGAAAAATGGAGAAAGTAAGCTTTGACAACAATGGTGGAAGCTTGAAATTCAAAGAGAGAGATGAGAGTGCTTGTTTTTCGTGAGAATGAGAGAGAAGAGCTTGCTTGCTTATGATTTGTAGTCTTCCAACCCCCTCCCTTGCTTGTTAAATGCATAGGCTTTATATAGAGTGTGAAATAAGAGAGTGAGGGAAAATAAGAAATATGAGAGGTG